GCTTGTAGATGAATACACGTGTCATAACTGCATTTAGGTTGGACTTTAACCAATTTAAGTTTTGGATATGCGGGCTAATGTGATCAAGTTTACTGATATTACCTAATGCAACTCTTGCAGCAAAGTTTTGTAATTTTTGTACTTTTTGCATTTGGGTTTTGTTAGTCGAGCCCTAAATATTTGAACAGTAGTTAATAATGCTTGAACTAGTTTCACAACCTTGATTCTAGTTTCAGTAGTGATTTGATTTTTTATGTGATTAAGATATACTAGGGTGCCCACTACTTTCATGTGTGTCTTGTCAACGTGTTGTTCAAATGTCATGAATCTGTCTAAATGTACTCCCAGATTATTCACTGAAGTGTTCGGCTTGATAGAGCAGCCTTCAAATTCTATGGTCGTGTCATTGGGAATTTTAGCTATATTCTGTCGGCTACCTATAAATATACATTGAGTTTTATGTGGATTTAGTTTAAGGCCATTAGTGTCAAAATATAATTTTGCTTGTGTAAGGGTATGTTGTGTTTCTTATTAATGTATTCAAGTTGTTTACAGAGTCATTATGAAGAAACTGTGAATCATCGGCGTACTGTACTAGAAGGCAGTTATGAGCTATTGTTGATAAATCATTTATGAAAATTGTGAATAGGAACGGACCTAAAATGGATCCTTGCGGAACACCAAAAGGTACTTCTTGTTTTGATGACATACAATCATTGATTCTTACCGATTGGGTTCTTGTTTCTAAATAACTTTTAAACCAAAAGGTATCAATTTTATGAATTACTAATTTGTTGAGGAGAATTTCATGGTTCACTATCAAAAGACTTAGAAAGGTCGCATAATGTGAGCAAATTTACCTGATTATTGTCTATGTTATTATAGATCTCATCAGTAATTTGTAGTAAAGCTGTTTCAGTAGATAACTTATTTCTGAAACCATGTTGCGTTTTAGATAATAAGTTATTGGCCTCCAGGAAACTCGTTAATTGATTTGCTACATTTTTTTCAAGAACTTCAGATAATATAGGGAGTATAGTGATAGGACGATAATTATTCACATCGTCTATATCCCCTGACTTGAAAATTGGTGTTACTATATCATGTTTCCAAAGCGACGGAAAGTCACCAGTGACCAGAGGGGTGTTAATAATGACCGTCAAATAATGTGCAATTGCGGGTAGACTATCTCTGATAAAGCGCAAAGCAATACCGTCCGCTCCTACAACATTTGTTTCGCGAAGGTGTTTTATTATTAAGATTATTGTTTCTACGTCCAAACAAACAGTTGCAAACATTGCCCGATCTGTTTCGTTGTAATGTAGAAGCAGTTGTTTGTTCATAAGTCAGTTTTCCAATTTTTGAAAAGAAGTCATTAAAATGTTATGTGCTTTGTGTAGGACCTGCACAATCACTAGTGAGCTGTTTGTTTTGAGGCACAAGTGTTTTAACAATTTTCCATGTCTTATCAGAGTTGTTCTTATACTCGGTAAATTTATTTCTGAAATAATTTCTTTTAGCAGATTGAATTAATAATTTGACATTTTTCTTTTTTACTTTATAATCTACTTGAAAGGCAGCTTTACGTCTGTTACTTTTAAGAGCTTGGTGGGCTGACGATTCGTGTTACGTAGGGAGCCAGCGCATCGATGCTGATTTTAATAACCTCCGTGAGAATAGTTACTTGTTTGTTTACATTATCTGTCGATGGAATATTTAATAGATTCATTTCTTTAGACAAGATAAGCTCGCGGAAAGACTGAGGGTCATAGTGTTTGAAATCGCGAAAAGTTTTTATTACTGGTGGTCTCTTTGTTTTCTTTATATTTAACGTCATCGTGATAAGTTCATGATCAGCAACGTGGCATGGGATGACATCGGAATGGAGAATGAGATCTGGATTGTTAGTTATTATTAAATCTAATAGAGAAGAGGTGTTTTCTGTAATTCGAGTAAGTTTATCTATTATTTGTTCTAATTTATTTTTCTTAATTACCTTCGCTAATTTAGCATTAGATTTTGTTAAATCATCATTTAGGTCACCTAAGATGAAAAGCGGTTTCTTTTTAAAGGACATTTCTCTAAAAGCCTTTTCAATGTTTCAAAAGATTCCGAGGTAGCATGGGGGTGCCTATAGACAGCGCCAATAATGAAGGAAGGAAGCATGTTGCTTTGTACGGTAACCCAGACATCTACGGCAGTATTGTTTACTGCTGTAGTAGATATCCTGTTTGACTTCAGGGTATCCCGTACATATATACACACTCCTCCTCCTCGCCCAGCATCACACCTGTAAACTTTAAAATTTGGAATATTGATGAAATTACTGACCATTTCCTGGTGGAGCCATGTTTCACTTATGCATAATATGTCTATGTTTTTCTCATCAACAAGCATTTTAATTTCTTCAAAATGCCCGAGGAGAGACTGAGCGTTTATATGCTCTATTTCTATGACATTTTGCGATCTAGTCATTGGTAACGCTGACGGCGTTGCCTGGTCAAACATTCTGATCGCGCTTGTACTTATTTTTGTTTAGGAACACTTTAACATTGTCAGGAAAAGTATCAGAGTCTAAAAATAGTTCAGGTTTTATGTTCTTTCCTCTTACTGACACCGTAAAGCTGGTGTAGTAATCATGTGTCATCACTGTCTTATGGGCCATGACACTTATGTTTTCAACTTTTTCGGATAGATGTTCTTCTATATCCTCTTCGTTTGTGTCTGGGTGACAACTGGTGATGTAAAGGTAGACTGTGTCAGGACGATCTGCTCCCTTTAACGGCTTTGGTGTTCTCTGTCTCTTTTTCTCTGATTTCTTGACTTGACCTTGGTGTAACCGTCTTCATCAATATCTTGTGTGGGTTTTGCTCGTTCTGCATAGTTGTTAATGATGACTGGTGGTGCTGCTGGAGGAGGGGGGGCAGCGGGTTGGGCGGTAGCCCCTTGCACCTGCTGCTGAGCTGTTTCTTCCCAGTGGCGGTTGGGGACGAGTTGTTCTCTTTGATTGTTACTCCTGTTGTTTTGACTTTTTCTAAAGCTCCGTTTAGGTGTTACTTGTGTAGAAGCTTCCACCTTGGTCTTCTTTGGCGTGTTGGTTTTGGGTCTCACGGCAGGAGGGCTCTTAGTTGACTTTGGGGAGGCGGGGGCGTCTGTAGGGGCGGGGGTCTGCTGGCTAGGAGCGCCGGGCGAGGGGCACGTCGATGGCTCAGCAGAGTTGGCGGCCGGCGAGTCAGCAAGGGCGCGAGGGAGCTGGCTGGCCGCGGGCAGGGAGAGAGGGGAGGGTATTGGGAGGGGAGGATTGCTGGTCGCGGGTATGGGTATGGAGGGTGTGGAGGAGGGGTTTGGGGTGGAGGTAGCGGGTGTTGTGACTGGTGGAGGAGATGTGAAGGGATAGGTTTCATATGTGGTCTGATCACGGGTGGGGGATGGGAGGTATGGGGGGATCGGCTCTTGTGTGGCCGATGCGTCCTCTGCTTGTTTTTGCCCTATTCATTTATTGATAGTCGACTGTTGTTCGGAAAACATTCCGATCAACAAGATTTTGCTTTCAATTAGGTTTTGGTCCGTGAGGGAAGGCCCATTACAGGTCTGTGTCCCTTGGTCTGTACTCTTTGGAAAGAACTTTACAAAATGAATAGACCAGTATGTTGGAGGAGTGTCCGTTGTAGTTGTTGCGAACACTATGTTTTGATTATCTACACACTGATCAATCATAGTGTGCACAATAATGTTTGTCATCCGTTTAGTGTCCCTTGTCGTGCTCCTGGGTTTTCTGGAGTCTGATAAACTGATCACAATGTCATGGGCTTGTTCTTTTAATTTGATCATAGATGACCGACCGTGGCCAAGACTTTTTCGTAGCAACGAAACACAGAACTGTGTTTAGCACTATTGTTAAGCTGCCGAACTGATAAATTACTCTTTCAGATTGATGCTCACTGTTTACACTATTATCACTGTTGTTACTGGTAAGGGGTCCCTCACCCTGGCCGGGGGGGGGCAGCCTTGACCCTGGCTGCCATGGGGGTGCCCATCCTCGTGGGCGGGGAGGCAGCTCTGACCCATGCTGCCGGGGGGCCCATATCCTTGGGCTGAGGTCCCGGTACCCTGGGAGGGGGGCGCATTACCCTGGGCCAGGGATCCCCTTTCACTCCGGGGACTAGAGCCCGGGCTAGCTGCCCGAGGAAGCACCAGGGAAGCCCCCTGGTTGGCCCCCTCAAACCCGGGGGGAGGGGTCAGAATACCCTCTAACTTGGTGGGACCATGAGGATGCATGGTTTTTGCTGAGTTGCGGGTTGGCGGCGGACTGGACGCACACACGGCACCTAGACTCAGAGAGAGAGAGAGAGAGAGAGAGAGAGAGAGAGAGAGAGAGAGAGAGAGAGAGAGAGAGAGAGAGAGAGAGAGAGAGAGAGAGAGAGAGAGAGAGAGAGAAGAGAGAGAGAGAGAGAGAGAGAGAGAGAGAGAGAGAGAGAGATGGAGAATGGGGTTGGAAGAAAGAAATCAGAAAAAAAATTAAAAGATCAAAATGGAGGAATTTTGATTCTGATTCTCTCTCTGTCTCTCTTTCTTTCGCTCTATCCCTCTCTCTTTCTTTATCTCTCCCTCTCTCTCTCTCTCTCCTCCCTCTCTCTCTCTCTGTCTCTCTGTCTGTCTGTCTCTGTCTCTCTCTCTCTCTCTCTCTCTCTCTCTCTTTCTTTCTCCCCCCCCCTCTCTCTCTCTCACACACACACTTTTCTCTCTGTATCTATCTCTATTTATCTATTGAGTGGTTTCATGACTTTCATTATATTTGTTACTGTAGCGTCGTATTCCATCGGTGTTTCAAATGTATTCCTTTATAGAATCAACGTTTTATTCTTCTTATTATTATTATCTGGTTCCACATACCATGGGACCCTCCTTATTCCCACTTAAAGATCTTCTAGCTTTTATATTTGATTTTCCATATATTTTCGTGTCATAACGACGATTTTCTTTAGCTGTAGAATAAGATT